ACCACACACACACAAGAGGTCGATGACTCCATACCTTCGTCAAGTATGACTTTGGGTTGTCAGAGATGCACTGCTGTATACAGTTTGACTTTTGCTGGTATGTAAACCGAAGTATATGTGTGGTACGTAAGTCGGCCGCGGAGTACAGGAACACACGTTACACGAGTACGGAAATTTTCCAACAAAGTCACGATGCTTGTCATTGGCATCACTATTCGGTGTATCTTTTCGGGTTCGGAGTGTGTGGAGTTTTCATATTGGTGGTTTCATTGATTTGTATGCTACTGGAAAGAGTCGCAGTACTTAGGACGGGACAGTAAGCCGTGGTCTACTATTTATGCTCACATTTGGAAAATATGTCCCTAGCCAGAAGTCAACAACCATATAAACATATGTTTGAACATCAGTTTGAAATCCCGACTCAAGTACCTTGATCTACATTCGAAGCTAGCTAAATTTCAAACCTAAAAGTGCCGCTGCAATACCTTAGAAAGTCACTAGAATGTCCAAATTCGAACTCAGACTTCTTTTTCCAAGCTACACGCTACCTATAAAAACTGCAAAGAAAACATCAACAACATCAAATGTTATCCCGTCTAGTCACATTCCGTCATAAAAATTACAGCAGGAGCTCCAAAAAAGCAGCTATTTTTATGAGAAATATATATGCCAGAAAATAACTGCCTATGCATAGATTTCCCACTCAAAAATCAATACCATAGCATGGTCATAGCACGAGTACCTATGTCCCCGCTGCAGTACCTTACAAAACCTCTAGAGTGCCCAAAATTGCCCTTGGCCTTCTTTTTCCCAACTTCATCTTACCTATCAAAAATAGCACCACATCCCAAGTTATAACTGATTACAAAATCAGCAACCCCTATATATGGTGTACATGTAATGTAAACACATAACTGACGAAAGTACATGTAGTAACATTATGCAAGCAAATGCTGGACCTTCGAATTCATTATTTAGGAAAGTTAAACAAATTATATTATATAACTTACTCTTATGCTAACTTACTTAGCCAGAAACTTTACCTTTAAAGTACCAGGTCCAATAGTTCTGTCCATTTCCAGGCGGCCCACAGTAGTTACAGTCTGTCCACATGACTGTTGGGACGAATCCACGGGCCTGGAGGTAAGAGACAGGTTTTATTTTCCTATCAGTTTCATTTTAATTTCATTTTATTCATTTATCAAGGGAAAAGCATGTCACCATGTTAGAGGTTTTCAAAGCTGCCTGCACAAAACATACATAACGTGATAGAAAAGGTATAAACTAACATAGATACAATAATAGAGTCGTAATAATGTTTTATGGTGATAAGGATGTTGATTTTGTTGAGATCGAAGTCGTGCATTTAAAGTCAAGGGAAGGTTTGAATGCGTTTTGTTCTATTTCTACGTGATCATATTTCCATCCAATTTTGCTTATATTTTGATGATGGGTGATTCCAACCATGTACTAGGAAGCCCCCCCCCCTCTCCCTACCTCTCCGTGTTTGTGTGTGCACGTGTGTACGTGCGCGCGTGTGTGTGTGTGTTTGCGTTGATAATGTAGGACACCCTTACAAGACATGTTGTAATGTCGTCTATCGCCTGCAAAACGAGGGCGCCAAAACCCAATCCATCGCAAGCATCTCCGAGAGAAGTTTCTATGACGCAGGCCACGATCTCGTTCCTGCCTTGGCGGTTGTGGTGAATGACAACGGGTTTCGGGTTCTCAACCAACTCGTTTGTGTACCGAATTACTGAAATTAAAAAGCATACATGCTGTAAGAATTTTTAGATTGTATATCATGACTTTGTTGTAAAGACTTTGTTTGTTACCTCTGCTAGAAGGTTATGTTTGAGTAGCGTGTGTTGGGGGGGGGGCGTTAGGCACGATAGCTCATGGTATAGATAGCTCTTGTGCCCGGAAAGAACTGGCGTTAGCTAGAAGTGGCGTTAGCTAGAAGTGGCTTGTTCTGGAGCTGGAGCTTGACATTTGTTTACATAAATGGATACTGGACAAATCATTGTTAGTTTCATTGTTGATACATATAGGACAGGCTTTATTCCACATTGGGTCTTATTCAGCACATATTTTACTTGTTATATTTGGACTTTGCCATACATTGTACCATGTGCAATTGTCTTTTTCTTCATATTGATCATGTAAATGATAATTTAGATCTTCGTCTTGGTATTTTAGCAACCTTATTCTCAACATAGCAAATGGCATAGCTTACTTTGTATTTGGAACATGATATAGTATAAAGTTACAACAAAGAAACACACATACATCCCGTATATATTTTTGTGAATACAGGTATAGATCATAGAACTGTCTGTGGCCAAGGAGGTTACCTCCGTGACCTATGTACAAACTACATCGCTCTGTGTAGACTACAACCAAGACTATGGCCAGAAGCAGATTGTTCACTTTTATTGTAAAAAAAACTTCTCACCTCTGAAAAATTTAGAAACGTAACCGGCGTATTGGAAGCATCCCTCACTCAACAGAAGTATCATCAAGAGTGATAACAGCCAGCGACGTTTCAACAGCATTTTGGACGGCAGACTATGATGAGCCTTACGCAGGTCCGCCATCCTGGTACGTTGTAGAGGACAGACTACTGGTAACTGACCCAATTACACCGGTCCGACTACTTACAATGTACCGACACTTTGATGCGAACGACCCAGAAAAAAATGTGGTAGGATAGTTTGAATGAATTTGTCACCTACTAGCTAGAAAAATGGAAGTGTTCTTGCCACCATCTAAAAGGTAAGTTTGTCAAAGAAAAATCATTAGTTGGACAATTAGTCATATGGCTGGCCCTCTTCTTAATTTATAAAGTTTCATAAAAGTAAAGAGCTAACTTACATTTAAAATAGTGTTAAAAGAGTCAATGTATAAGAATCGTTTGCTGTTCTATCTCTCGGACCTTAGGCGAGTTACCAGAAATTGAAAACTACTAAGTTTACAAGTACAATGTATACGCGCTCAGTTGACGTGTGTTAGAATGATTACTACTGAGTGTACATGAAGCTAATAAGAACTTGAATATTCTAACATCTTCAAAGATCCATCAATTTCTTTATGTCACTATCGCTGGCAAACTTTGATCTTAAAAACTCCCTGCGACATTTGCTCCATTTCATGTTCTTGTAAAAACACCTCAGGGTGTTTAGGTACTGCCGTTCAGTGAATAACAATCTGAACAGCATTCCACCCCTGGCCTTAAGACCAGCCCATAGAGTGTCATCCCTCCAATCGGGTAGGATTATGTTGCGCGTTTCCTTGGCAACGGCCTGACGAAAAAGTTCCTCAGAATCGAAACGAGGTTGCGCATTAAGTCGTCTGAAGTCCGAGGCGTCTCCACTGACATAGTAGCTCTTAAGGTTGGGGTTGTAATAGTACGTCACTGAAGCAACATTAGACTCATCATGGACAAAGTAGTCACACTTAGACATCAGCAAGATGTCAGTGAACACCTGGTCGCCTAGTAGATTCGGAGAGTCTTTCCGTATAACGTCATCATTCAAACTTTTCCCCCTGGAGGCAGCTATGTGTAAGACTCTGTTGTTCCCAAACTTGGATTTGAATTCCTTAATAACTTGGTCAAGATCAGAGGCCAGGTATATGCGGATTTCTCTGTCGGCATATTTGGCAGTGATGTCGTTTATGAGACGATGCACGACTTGAACAAAGTCTTGCAGTTCTGGAGGTGTTTGATGATTTAGCGTCATCTCTCTGGCGTGACCTGCTTTTAGTCTCACGTGGACGCCTGTGAAAGGAATCACACCATATGTGTTTGAGCTACATAAGGAGCGTATAGATATAATATAATTACTTATTAGATTGTGTTAGTGAAATATTTCATGCATCATCATCATCATCGGTCGGCTGCGGTACACGTGCACAACAACTAAAACATTAAATGCAAGAAGAATAAAAGGTGTAGTGTTAGTTACCTATATTAATACTGTCTGCCATGAAGGATTGATAGAAAGTATCCACTGCGTTCTTGATCCTAGCGGCTGGCTGGAGATAACCTGGAGATGAATAAATGACATTTATTAGTATTGTACAAACTATAGGTACAGGTCATGGTGATAAAGTTATATCAACAATTTTCATAACAGTTCTATGGACAATAACAGTGATACAAGTCCGGTTTCTTACTAATTCTACAGATGCTAAGGTTCAACCTCTGTTCGCTTTTTAAGACAGTTGTGTTAAAATAGATGGAGTTTATACTATATCATGCTTTATCAAATTGCATGAGTAATATGAATTCTCTTTGCTATCTTCAATATTAGTTTTATTTGCTACCTTTCATATTAAAACTAGGAAACTTATCTTAAATGTCATAGAAACTAGGAAACTTATCTTAAATGTCACAGTCCACAATAAAAGACACTCGTCTTCCACGTATCTTACTCATGTTACAATATTGTCAAATACTTTAAAATTTGTTGCAAAGAAATGCTGTCTACCTGATATGACGTGATTGGCAAGAGCCCGGGTCTCTGCTGTAATTGGTTGGTAGTATTCCGTCACCTTGTTTTCCAAGTCGGCAAACCGGAAGTCCACCAATTCACCCATTGCTCCTGTTCGAGTCAGGTAAACCTGGGAGAGTAAACAACAACAAATGTTATCATATGATGATTATAATGGCCTGATGTAGCATTGTTTACTATACGTTTTCCGCATTAGATTATTATGATTATATTGTTCGTAATCACCTCGTGTCCAGAGCATTCATCCATAATATCAAGTCTGCATGCCTTATTAAATTCGAAGATAAATGAACCTACCGAAGGCATGCCATAGGGATGCCGTTTGGGTGCCATACACACCCGAGTCTTCGCTTGCTGTACTATATCTTCATTCCTCCCTGTACATGTCAGTAATGTAGAAAAATCACGTTAGATGTCAGCAATCATTGATTATTCATGTAAAGTTACATACGTGTAATTTTGCCCTTCTCAATATTACACCATAATTTTACGGAAAATCATAATTTCAATAATTCATAGCACTTGATAACATTATCGCTCCACTCTTCGTTACAAATTCTTATGTCTTAAAATGTTATTGTCGATTTTAGCCATTTGCCTGTCAATTTTAGAGTGATTTTAAGGTGTTTTCAAATTTTATCTATAACATCGCTGACTAATAAAATGATATATGTATATGTGATAAATAAGTTGATCGTTTACATTTTATTATGTATTTGTAGTAGCATGAAAACCTGACTGTGTTTGTAAACAAGCCTGACAATTCGGCCTTCGGGCTGTATTTTTTAGAGAATTGAATAAACCATTCTACTACGGAAAATAACATTACAGACGTTGAACCCTCATATTTAGGGCAGTAATATATTAGCAATAGAACTTACCTTCAAAGTACCAGGTCCAATAGTTCTGTCCATTTCCAGGCGGCCCACAGTAGTCACACTCTGTCCATATGACTGTTGGGACGAATCCACGGGCCTGGAGGTAAGAGACAGCTGTTATTTCCCTTCAGTTTTTATAATGACGTATATTTTGTAGCTTTAATTTTATGCTCAGGGAAACGTTATTATGATAATGAGTTTTAGAGCCATCATACACTTTATATGCAATTTGATCACTATATGATAATTCGATTAATGGTGGTTCATTGCAATACTAGTGCTACAAAATCTTACTCTTTCTCCCCCTCCCTTGATTAATGATATAGGATACACTTACAAGACATGTTGTAATGTCGTCTATCGTCTCCAAAACGAGAGAGGCGAAGCCTAGTCCCTCGCAAGCATCTCCAAGAGAAGTTTCTATGATGCAGACCACGCTCTCGTTCCTGCCTTGGTGGTTGTGGTGTATGGCGACGGGCTTCGGGTTCTCAACCAACTCGTTCGTGTACCGAATTGCTGGAATTAAGACATTATAGCTGACATGTTTTAATGCATATCATGACGATTGTCGTGAAAACAGGTTTATTGGCCTGTATTCTAATCTCCGAAGGACTGATATAGTAAGAAAACAAATGTCTTCTCGGAAGCGTAAATTACATACAAGTTGATACGAAAATGCATATGGTAGTCCAGTTAGGACAGGGCTCACCGGCGTCTGTGCAATTTTCCTAGTATTTGTATTCAAATTCGGTTGACCCGAGGACGTTCTGATAGAACGTTCTTGGCTGACCGTACAATCGTGCTCGGTTGACCCTCCAAGCGACAAAATATTTCCAGAACTCAGATTGTTGTCTGCTGTTCACGAAGTTTTCTTTCAAACTAAGGTTTTCTGACGGTCACGAGAATGGTGTCCATTATATCTAGGGTTCGTGGACAAGAAAATGTCGCCGTGTAAGAGTAACTTAGAGAGTCTTCACCACTTCATATAGATTATTGACTGTAAAACAACTAGTACTCCTCACCTCTGAAAAAGAAAGAAACGTAACCGGCAAAGTGAAAACATCCAGCAGCAAAGGACAGTACAATCAGGAGCGATATCAGCCTGCGATGTTTCCACATCATCTTTAATGGAAGACTATGGCGAGCCTTACGCAGATCACCCATCCTGTAACGTTACAGAGAGACGACTAATTACTTACCTACACCTGTTAGACGAGTTCCAGACACTTCGTTTGGGACAAACCAAGAAGGAATCGTTGAGGGGGGTATTTATAAACTTTTTGGACTCAATGTCAATAATGCGCTCCAGAAGTATAGAAAGAAACGATGGGGAAATCGTACAACGACCGTGTAAAAAAACAGAGTGACAGAATTCTAATGATGTAAGTTGCATTACATGATTTTGCACATAAACCACCTCACCATTGCTTGGCACTTTTGGTATGAAGTATTTTGTCGATGATTTCAAGCAGACGGTGTCATCAAATCATTCCGTGCCATTACCCCCACTAAATATGTGAGAACATGGTGATCAGTATAATTGCTACTGCTGTAAGAGCTAATTACGCCACCTGCTCTGTTTCTGTTATGACCGAGTGCGTACACTGTTCATTTATTGAATTTTCAGGTAGCAATAATGGATACACGACTTTGTACAGTTATATTTACTCTGCTGAAGGACCTGTGGGATGTTCTTGGTGTCCAGACGGACGAAGGCCTTACCTGCCGGGAGACTCCTGGTCAGCCTGCAAGAAGGAAAACATTCCCTTTATTCCAGAATAAGGTAAGGCCATGTTGATTTGATTATATGGATGACATCCACGCGCGCATGAATTTTCGTCCGTTTAAAAAAAGGTTTGCGACCATACTGCACTGCAAATCGTACAAAATGATAGCGAATATATGTCGTATGTTGCAAAAAAAGTATTGGAAAATGATACTAATGTCATAGAATGCCGAAACCAATTCACGAAATGTTAAGAAATGAAAATGAAGAGTCTATTATTATTATTCGCCATACCATATTCATTTGTTCAACCTATATAACCACAAACATTTCATGGTGAAGGAAACATTTTTTTTCTGCCAAACTTCTTTTTTATTCGCACACTCGCGTCAGTTTTGGGGCTCCCAAAGAATGTTATCCATGTAATCAATGTGTAATCAAATCAACATGGCCTAAGGTATCAACAAAAAGGAACAATGAGACTAAAATAGAACCCCCCCAAAAAGACCACACCTCAAAGGAGGTTACTCCCTTGCACATGTATACACTACATGTATAGATCTGTGTAGACTATACCATTACTGTAGCCAGAAGCAGATTGTTCACTTGTAATGCATAGTGACCGCAAAAACAACTTCTCACCTCTGAAAAAGAAAGAAACGTAACCAGTGTATTGGTGGAAGCAACCCAAACTCAACAAAAGTATCATCAAGAGTGCTAACAGCCAGCGATGTTTCAAAAATATTTTGAACGGCAGACTACGATAAGCCTTACACAAATCCGTCATCCTGGTACGTTGTAGAGGGATTCAAAATGGCGGCGTGTGGGTACATATAGTGACTGAACTATGACCTCTCATGTATACTGGACGAACAAGTCAGCTTGATATTTTTATTGAGTACATGGCAGAGGGTGACAATTATGCGGAATGCATTCATTGGTCCCTATATGGGGTAGTCTAATTATATATAATTATACCATAATTATCTATTAGTAAATATCCCTTTTCACCACTAGTGCACAATTATACATAAACCCCTTCACCAATATACATAATTATACTTATATGTATAATTATCCATATATGGTTAACATTAATGGCAGTGAACCCTATATCTATATCCGAAACTTTTATAGCACATAAGCCACATTGAACTCGAATGACAATCAACAAGTAGACTTTGGTATTTCGGTACAGTATACAATGATTTTACAGACATTACTTCATGTGCATAACTCTTATTACGTTAGTGTCAGATTAAGGTAATTACATTGTTACATGTAAAAGTATATGCAGTGTGCTCAAACAACCTGTGGCAAAACCTTCAGAACGGGTATAGAACTGGTGAGCCACAGCCAGACACACAGAAGCTGACGTGATGTCTTCGTCATCGTCGAAAACGACGGACGAACAACAACAAACTGAGTGTACATAATTATGTAGTTAGGAGCATGCAGCAACTTCATAGACCCATCAATTCCTTCAGGTCACTACCACTGGCAAACGTCGAGCTTAAAAACTCCCTGCGACATTTGCTCCATTTCACGTTCTTGTAGAAACACTTCAGTCCGTCCAGCAAATATCTTTCAGAGAATAACAATCCCCACAACACTCTAACTCTGGCCTTAAGACCAGCCCACAATGAGTCATTCTTCAAGTCGGGTAGGATTATGTTGCGCGTCTCCCTGGCAACGGCCTGACGAAAGAGTTCCCCTGAATCGAAACGAGGTTGCGCGTTAAGTCGTCTAAAGTCCGAGGCGTCTCCACTGACATAGTAGCTCTTAAGGTTAGGGTTGTAATAGTACGTCACTGACGCAACATTAGACTCATCATGGACAAAGTAGTCACACTGAGACATCAGCAAGATGTCAGTGAACACCTGGTCACCCAGTAGATTCGGAGAGCCTTTCCGTGTCCCTCTATAATCCAAACTTTTTCCCCTGGAGGCGTCTATGTGTAAGACTCTGTTGTTCCCAAACTTGGATTTGAATTCCTCAATAACTTCGTCAAGATCAGAGGCCAGGTATATGCAAATCTCTCTGCCCTCATTGTCGGCAGTGATGTCATTTATGAGACGTTGTACAACTTGAACAAATTCTTGCAGTTCTGGAGGTGTTTGATGATATAGTTTCATCTCTCGGGCGTGACCTGCTTTTAGTCTCACGTGGACACCTGTAGAAAGAATCACACCAAATTCATCTGTATTTGCGTATATATGGTTAGCACTTTACATATACCGTTGCATGTATATAAAATTTACAAGCCACGTAAATAATACAACTACATACTCCTTGTGGTTTAAAAAGCATTTCAATAAAGAAATTTAACCGTTTAGAGTTTAGACTAGAAAAACACATTTCCCAACGTGTGCGTATTTGTACTTGCACTCATGAAAACAGTTATGAAAAACAACTAAAACATTAAAAAGGTAAGATGTATTAAAAGGTGTAATGTTACCTATGTTAATGCTATCTGCCATGAAGGATTGATAGAAAGTATCCACTGTGCTCTTGATCCGAACAGCTGGCTGGAGATGACCTTGTGATCAATGAATAACCTTTATTGATATTGTAAAAGCTAGTAAGTACAGGTCATGGTGATTAAGTTCTACGAGCAATAACAGTGATACAAGTCTGGTATCATCTACAGATGCTGCTTAAGGTTCAACTTCTGATTTCTTCAGTTGTAAGTGTTAAAAATGATGGAGCTTATACTACGTGATTTATCAATTTGCACGAGAAATGTGAATTCTCTTTGCTATATAAATTTTCTTTGCTACCTTTTATTAAACTTTAGCTAGCAAACTTATCTTGAATACAATTGAAGAGGATACTTAGTATTTTTCTCGTCATAAAGAGTACAGTCCACAATAAAATGACACTTGTCTTCTACGTGTATCTCATGTTACAATATTGTCAAATACTTTGTTGCTAAGAAAATGCGGTTGTGTCTACCTGATATGACGTGATTGACAAGAGCCCGGATCTCTGCTGTTATTGGTTGGTAGTATTCCGTCACCTTGGTTTCCAAGTCGGCAAACCGGAAGTCCACCAATTCACCCTTTGCTCCTGTTCGAGTCAGGTAAACCTGGTAGGAGTTAAACAGCAACAAACGTTCATGAACTAAATAATGAAAATAATGATGGGGGTTACCTCCTGATGAAGTAACAATAGTATTGTTTACTATGCAATGTTTTTAGCATTATATTATCATCATACCCTTCGTAATAACTTCGTGCCCAGAGCATGCATCCATAATATCAAGTGGGCATGTAGTTGAAGATAAATAAACCTACCGAAGGATTGCTGGTAGCCCTTGAGGGCGCCATACACACCCGAGTCTTCGCTTGCTGTACTATATCTTCATTCTTCCCTGTACGAGTCAGCAATGTAAACAAAAATCATGTTAGCGTTCATGACTCATTGATTATTCATGCACATACATGAAAGTTAGCCCCTGTCAATATTATACAATGATTTTACGGAACATCACATTATGCCAACAAATGCATGCCCTCATTTCCGACAGTTAACATGATATGGTAACCAGAAAAATAATTACCTTCAAAGTACCAGGTCCAATAGTTCTGTCCATTTCCAGGCGGCCCACAGTAGTCACACTCTGTCCACATGACTATTGGGACGAATCCACGGGCCTGGATGTAAGAGACAAGTGTTATTGTACTTCCAATTTCATGGTGATAATAACGTCACTTTTGTAGCGTGCATTTTATGTTCGAGCGCTCAAGGAACGGAACGTTTAATGAGTCTTAGAGCCATCATACACGCTTATATTCCCATGACTTTGATATGGCTTAATTGTGATCAAAATTACGTAATAGCAACTACTCTTTCTCCCCCTCCCTCGGTTAGTAATATAGGACACACTTACAAGACATGTTGTAATGTCGTCTATCGTCTCCAAAACGAGAGAGGCGAAGCCTAGTCCCTCGCAAGCATCTCCAAGAGAAGTTTCTATGACGCAGGCCACGCTCTCGTTCCTGCCTTGGTGGTTGTGGTGTATGGCGACGGGCTTCGGGTCCTCAACCAACTCGTTCGTGTACCGAATTGCTGGAATTAAGACATTATAGCTGACATGTTTTAATGCATATCATGACGATTGTCGTGAAAAACTAGTTTATTGGCCTGTATTCTAATCTCCGACGGACTGATATCGTAAACAAACACATAGATGTCTTCTCGAAAGAGTAAATTACATACCAGTAGATACGAAAAAAGCATATGGTAGCCCAGTTACATTTTGTAGGACAGGGCTCACCGGCGTCTGTGCAATTTTCCTAGTATTTGTATTCAAATTCGGTTGACCCGAGGACGTTCTGATAGAACGTTCTTGGCTGACCCTACAATCGTGCTCGGTTGACCCTCCAAGCGACAAAATATTTCCAGAACTCAGATTGTTGTCTGCTGTTCACGAAGTTTTCTTTCAAACTAAGGTTTTCTGACGGTCACGAGAATGGTGTCCAGTATATCTAGGGTTCGTGGACAAGAAAATGTCGCCGTGTAAGAGTAACTTAGAGAGTCTTCACCACTTCACATAGATTATTGACTGTAAAACAACTCCTCACCTCTGAAAAAGAAAGAAACGTAACCGGCAAAGTGAAAACATCCAGCAGCAAAGGACAGTACAATCAGGAGCGATATCAGCCTGCGATGTTTCCACATCATCTTTAATGGAAGACTATGGCGAGCCTTACGCAGATCACCCATCCTGTAACGTTGCAGAGAGACGACTAATTACTTACTTCAGACGAGTTCCAGACACTTCGTTTGGGACAAACCAAGAAGGAATCGTTGAGGGGGGTATTTATAAACTTTTTGGGCTCAATATCAATAATGCGCTCCAAAAGTATAGAAAGAAACGATGGGGAAATCGTACAACGACCGTGTAAAAAAAAACAGAGTGACAGAATTCTAATGATGTAAGTTGCATTACATGATTTTGCACATAAACCACCTCACCATTGCTTGGCACTTTTGGTATGAAGTATTTGTCGATGATTTCAAGCAGACGGTATCATCCAATCATTCCGTGTCATTACCCCCACTAAATATGTGAGAACATGGTGATCAGTATAATTGCTACTGCTGCAAGATCTAATTAGGCCACCTGCTCTGTTTCTGTTATGACCGAGTGCGTACACTGTTCATTAATTGAATTTTCAGTTAGCAATAATGGATACACGACTTTGTACAGTTAACGTTATATTTACTCTGCTGAAGGACCTGTGGGATGTTCTTGGTGTCCAGACAGACGAAGGCCTTACCTGCCGGGAGACTCCTGGTCAGCCTGCAATAAGTAAAACATTCCTTTTATTCCAGAATAAGGTAAGGCCATGTTGATTTGATTATATGGATGACATCCACGCGCGCATGAATTTTCGTCCGTTTAAAAAAAGGTTTGCGACCATACTGCACTGCGAATCGTACAAAATGATAGCGAATATATGTCGTATGTTGCAAAAAAAAGTATTGGAAAATGATACTAATGTCATAGAATACCGAAATTAATACACGAAATGTTAATAAATGAAAATGAAGAGTCTATTATTATTATTCGCCATACCATACTCTGTGTGTTTAGTCATTTGTTCAACCTATATGACCACAAACATTTCATGATGAAGGAAACTTTTTTTCTGCCAAATTTCTTTTTTATTCTCACACTCGCGTCAGTTTTGGGGCTCCCAAAGAATGTTATCCATGTAATCAAGGTGTAATCAAATCAACATGGCCTAAGGTATCAACAAAAAGGAACAATGAGACTAAAATAGAACCCCCCAAAAAAGACCACACCTCAAAGGAGGTTACTCCCTTGCACATGTATACACTACATGTATAGATCTGTGTAGACTATACCATTACTGTAGCCAGAAGGACTCAGTGTTCACTTGTAATGCATAGTGACCGCAAAAACAACTTCTCACCTCTGAAAAAGAAAGAAACGTAACCAGTGTATTGGTGGAAGCAACCCAAACTCAACAAAAGTATCATCAAGAGTGCTAACAGCCAGCGATGTTTCAAAAATATTTTGAACGGCAGACTACGATAAGCCTTACACAAATCCGTCATCCTGGTACGTTGTAGAGGGATTCAAAATGGCGGCGTGTGGGTACATATAGTGACTGAACTATGACCTCTCATGTATACTGGACGAACAAGTCAGCTTGATATTTTTATTGAGTACATGGTAGAGGGTGACAATTATGCGGAATGCATTCATTGGTCCCTATATGGGGTAGTCTAATTATATATAATTATACCATAATTATCTATTACTAAATATCCCTTTTCACCACTAGTGCACAATTATACATAAACCCTTTCGACATTATACATAATTATACTTATAGGTATAATCATCCATATATGGTTTATATCAATGGCAGTGAACCTTATATCCGACAATTTTTTTTACCACAAATGCCTCATTTAATGAAAATCAACAAACAGACTTTGGTATTTCGGTACAGTATACAATGATTTTACAGACATTACTTCATGTGCATAACTCTTATTACTTTAGTGTCAGATTAAGGTAATTACACTTTGTTACATGTAAAAAATATATGCAGTGTGCTCAACCATGCAAAAAAGCTTTCAAAGCCGGTATAGAACTGGTGAGCCACAGTCGGACACACAGAAGCTGACGTGATGTCTTCGTCATCCTCGAGAACGACGGACGAACAACAACAAACTGAGTGTACATACATAGTTAGGAACATGCAACAACTTCATAGACCCATCAATTCCTTCATGTCACTATCACTGGCAAACTTCGATCTTAAAAACTCCCTGCGACATTTGCTCCATTTCACGTTCTTGTAGAAACACTTCAGGTCGTCGCTGTATCCTTTCACATCTGTGAACAAAAATCCCCATAGCAAACTAACCCTGACCTTAAGACCAGCCCAAAGTGAGTCATGCTTCCAATCAGGTAGGATTATGTTGCGCGTCTCCCTGGCAACGGCCTGACGAAAAAGTTCCTCAGAATCGAAACGAGGTTGCGCATTAAGTCGTCTGAAGTCCGAGGCGTCTCCACTGACATAGTAGCTCTTAAGGTTGGAGTTGTAATAGTACGTCACTGAAGCAATATTAGACTCATCATGGACAAAGTAGTCACACTTAGACATCAACAAAATGTCAGTGAACACCTGGTCACCCACTAGATTCGGAGAGCCTTCAAATGTCCTATCATCAACCAAACTTTCCCCCCTGAAGGCGTCTATGTGTAAGACTCTATTGTTCCCAAAATTGGATTTGAATTCCTTAATAACTTCGTCAAGATCAGAGGCCAGGTATATGCGAATCTCTCTGCCCTCATTTTTGGCATTGATGTCATTTATGAGACGTTGCACAACTTGAACAAAGTCTTGTAGTTCTGGAGCTGTCTGGTCAAAGAATGTCATCTCTTCGGCGTGACTTGATTGTAGTCTCACGTGAACACCTGTAGAAAGAAACATATCGTATTCATCTGTGGGCTATAAGTATAAGAAGTGTGTGTGTGCGTGTGTGCGACATAATTTTTTAACGGCAAGGGGCCCCAAACTCATTCTATTGTTCCTGATACAAAAAAAAACCTACCACTAGTAAATCAAGACCACAGCATGTCTGGGGCAAAAGATACAAAAACTGAAAGTTTTTCTTTAGTACCAAGGTCAACCACCAGTAGGCCTAAAGTTGACCTATAGCTAGAAACTACATACGAATTATCATCACAATGTATAAAGGCCTTCTTAATCTTACCACCAATGTGCGGATCGGAAACACAAACACAAAGAACAATACCTTCGTTTTCTTGGAGGTTAAAACATAGAAGCAAGATTTTTTTTAATTTTGATGTATCTAAAAGAGTGCAATTTAATACCTATATTAATACTGTCTGCCATGAAGGATTGGTAGAAAGTATCCACTGCGGTCTTGATCCTAGCGGCTGGCTGGAGATAACCTGGAGATGAATAAATGACCTTTATTAATACCGTACAAGCTAATACAGGTCATGGTGATAAAGTTCTATGAACAATAACGGTGATACAAGTGTGGTATCTTACTACATCTGCACGGGCTGATGTACACTTATTTACAGTCTCAACAGCCTCGCTTTTTAATGCAGTTCGGCAGCCCAGGCAGATATTCTTTTCTTTTCTTTGCAATCCAAGATATTTAAATATAGGGAACTTACTTACCTTGTGTACAATTCAAGGGGATATTTCTTTATACAAGGTACGTACAGTTTACGTAAGAATAACACGTCTTCTATCTTACTCTTATTGTAATATCGTCTTATTCTTTGCAAAGAAATGCGGTTGTGTCTACCTGATATGACGTGATTGGCAAGAGCCCGGATCTCTGCTGTTATTGGTTGGTAGTCCGTCATCTTGTTTTCTAAGTCGGCAAACCGGCAGTCTATCAATTCACCCGTTGCTCCTGTTCGAGTCAGGTAAGGCTGATGGGAGTCAACAGCAACAAAAAGTCAAAACTTGATAGTTCATCTGTATAGACGTCATCATGAAACAAATTTGAACTGTCATTTTCATAAAACGTTCCTGCAACTTACAATCAGCTGCTCACCGAATCCTACCACTCTCTCCGAGGATACATTCATGCTGGTTAATATCAAGTTAGTCATGAATTAGTAGATAAATTTGAAGATAAATACACCTACCGAAGGACCGCTAAAAGGAAACCTTGAGGGCGCCATACACACCCGAGTCTTCGCTTGCTGTACTATATCTTCATTCATCCCTGTACGAGTCAGCAAAGTAAAAAAAAAACACAAACGTCAGCGTTCATCAATTATACTGATTATAGTCATGCTTGTCACGCCCCCCCCCCCCACCCAACACACAATAGTTCTACTAAAAACAAGAGGTCGATGACTTTACTTTAACTTTACCTTCAAAGTACCAGGTCCAATAGTTCTGTCCATTTCCAGGCGGCCCACAGTAGTCACAGTCTGTCCATATGACTGTTGGAACGAATCCACGGGCCTGGATGTAAGAGACATGTGTAATAATTTTCCTTCGAGTTTCATGGGGATGATGACGTTAATTTGTAGTGTATTATTTTCCTATCAGTTTCATTTTCATTTCATTTTATTCATTTATCCGGGGTAAGCATGTCGCCATGTTGGCGGTTTTCAAAGCTCCCTGTACAAAACGTGCATAACATGATAACAGAAAAGGTATAAACTAACATAAATACAATGATCATATGAGTCATAATAATAGTTTTATGGTGATAAAGACGTTGGTTTTGTTGCGATTAAGTCGTGCACAAGGAAAGGTGTGTTAATAATGTAGGACACCCTTACAAGACATGTTGTAATGTCGTCTATCGCCCGCAAAACGAGGGCGCCAAAGCCCAATCCATGGCAAGCATCTCCGAGAGAAGTTTCTATGACGCAGGCCACGCTCTCGTTCCTCCCTTGGCGGTTGTGGTGAATGGCAACGGGTTTCGGGTTCTCAGCCAATTCGTTCGTGTACTGAATTGCTGGAATATATGTTTCAATGCATATCATGACGATTGTCGTGAAAAACTAGTTTATTGGCCTGTATTCTAATCTCCGACGGACTGATATTGTAAACAAACACATACATGTCTTCTCGGAAGCAGAAATTACATACCAGTAGATACGAAAAATGCATATGGTAGCCCAGTTAGGACAGGGCTCACCGGCGTCTGTGCAATTTTCCTAGTATTTGTATTCAAATTCGGTTGACCCGAGGACGTGCTCAGATTGTTGTCTGCTGTTCACGAAGTTTTCTTTCAAACTAAGGTTTTCTGACGGTCACGAGAATGGTGTCCAGTATATCTAGGGTTCGTGGACAAGAAAATGTGACCTTGAAAGAGTAACTTAGAGAGTCTTCACCACTTCACATAGATTATTGACTGTAAAAACAACTCCTCACCTCTGAAAAAGAAAGAAACGTAACCGGCGAAGTGGAAGCATCCAGCAGCAAAGGACAGAACAACCAGCGACGATATCAGCCTGCGATGTTTCCACATCATCTTTAATGGAAGACTAGTACTATGGCGAGCCTTACGTAGATCACCCATCCTGTAACGTTGCAGAGGGACGACTAACTAACCTACAGCGGTCAGACGACTTATATAGACACTTCGTTTGGGACAAACCAAGAGGGAATCACGGGGGTATTTTTAAATACTTTTTGGGCTCAATGTCAATAATGCGCCCCAAAAGTATAGAAAGAAACGATGGGGAAGGGAAAATCGTACAACGACAAAGAACAAAACAGAATTCTAATGATGTAAGTTGTATTACATGATTTTGCACATAAAACACCCGAGCCCCCCCGTGTACACTATATGACATCCAGTAGATTTCTAGCGGGGACCAATCATAGGGCTGCTGACGCGTCACCGACTAGCGGCTATTAGCACCTTGTTTCATGTAAATGCCATGAACTCAACCAGACCGCGTATATTGTTTCTTGTTTACATCAGTACTAAGTACTAGCATGGAATCCATGGTACTAGTACTTCCACAATCAGTTAGTAAAGTCATACCTTTAAGTAAAATCTACTTTGATGAACGAATCAAAACGGGACTGTAGACATTAAGTTTTACACATTCAAATGTGGCTGCACTTGCGCTAATGGAGCGACTACTACGTACGGGAAGGAACGGATCTTAGCGAAGCCGAGATTTGTGAACCAAACCCAACCCATCGAAGACGGGCCGCCAAACATAAAAATGGAGGGAAATGACAGACAACAAGCCAACAAAGACAACATCACCAGACCAACAAACTTGGAAAACACCACTTCAAGCGCTAACGTTGTAAGAACTGTGGAACCTCAAACTAGTATGTTTGCGTCAGCGGAAAGGCTGTCGAAGTAACCACTACATGAAAAACTGCGGCGAAAAAGTAACATGGGTTCGTCCCAAATCTAGACGCAAGTGAGCTACAAAAGTAATAGAACCTATGCATCATGCTTGTTGCTGTCAACTTACCCGTTAAAGATTGAACCGATACATGTACGTACTATAACTTGCCATACCCGGCCAAAGACGACTACATTACTGTTACTCTTTATTGTGCCGTTCTTCTACAAACAGCCAGCAGAATTATGAAGATACTCGTTCTCAATACACATGCTGCAAACTAAAGTAATGGCAGTCCTACGAAAATTCTGTCTGTAATGTATAAGCGCTTTATGTCGACGTACAATGGGTGTGAAATACATGTTTTCGCCCATCGTGTGCCACCAGCTCGGTGGTAATTGGCTACTTTACAAGTGAAAGAACCGCGTCCGTGGGCCTTGATAAATTATTCAAATTATTCAGCAGCCCTCTGATTGGTTCCCGCTAGAAATTTACTGGATGTCATTCAGTGACGAGCACCCCCCCCCCCATGTTTAGCAATTTTTGGTATGGAGTAACAGGTGTGGGAAATGTTAAAATTCTGACTGGCTTTCAGTTGCAATTGGTCGGTGATTTCAAGCAGACGGTATCATCAAATCATTCCGTGTCATTTCCCCCACTAAATATGTGAGAACATGGTGATTAGTACAATTACTAATGCTGCAAGATCTACATGTAATTAGGCCACCTACTCTGTTTCTGTTATGCCCGAGTGCGCAGTTGTTTTAATTAAAGGCTTTAAGAGTAAAATACACGGTTCATTTATTGAATTTTCAGTTAGCAATAATGGATACAATTAAACCAATATTTTCAATCCAACAAGATTTTTTTCATTCATTGATAACTTGACATTAACCTACATAAGAACACAATACAGGTGGGCTATAAGATGTACACGGCTTTGTACAGTTATATTTACTCTACAGTTACATGTATATATACTGTAGATTCTTTGTTACTACAGCAGTATCTGATTTTGTTGTTCTAAAGAGTTGCTATTGATAAATAAGAAACATCACAATGTCATGTAGAGAAGAAAATAATTTAACATATAATTATTCATACAACTATAATCAGCACATTACAATGTACTTGTTAACTAGTAACATGGTTTCACCCTAGATGTGCCCTAGAGTCACAGATCGTACAAGGTGCAAAAAAAACCCAAAAAAGCAGTACTTGTACTTGATGTGACTATGAATTATACATGTATATGGCAAACAGCATATTCTAAACTTGCATCACCATTCTATCTCATTGTTGTCAAACATTTAGTCTTAAGTATGGTTTGTTTTAAAGATAAATGTCCATACATGACAAAAATTAACAAATCATAACACAGATTACAGTATATTAGATTTAAAAGCAAGGTAGTATATTGTTATACCAAGGAACTTCATACCCACTTTACCTGTCATGATTAAAACACTCAAGCTCTGCTCAACAGAGTTCATATTTATATACATGTAAGATAAACCACAATCTTATGTATACACCATATGTAGCTCATTTAAATCTACTTAAATATCAATATGATTTCTAATTCTTCTTTCCCTAACGTATATTTTGGGCCTTCAACTTTCTCAATTGACATACTACCCACAATGCATCACACTGAGCAATTGAAAGCATGAAACAGATTATTTGCATATTGTTTGTTCTAAATTGTGATTGTTTATTTTGTAGACAGCATGGTGGAGGTGAAGATCTGCTGAAGGACCTGTGGGATGTTCTTGGTGTCCAGACAGACGAAGGCCTTACCTGCCGGGAGACTTCGAGTCAACCTGCAATAAGGAAAACATTCCTTTTATTCCAGAATAAGGTGACCAACAAAAAGGAACAATGAGAGTGAAATAGAAACCGAAAAAAGTGTACCAGGTGAGGCAAGAAAAGCTACTCATAGAAAGTTAGCTAATTAGCTACTCTAGAGCTAGTTAATAGAATTTCAACCATCCTTATGCACTAGTAGTTTAAATGTTGATATCAAAGTCTTCTAACATGAAATTTCCCTCGAACAGTTTGTTACATTCCATTTACCTCTCCTGAGCTTGAATATTTAAAATTTCAAGCATCTGACTCCGTCCAGAATTCACAGATTTTTTGTGACTAGCATTCAATTTAGCAAGCCAAGATTTAAAGGTACTCTTACAAACACATAACAGAAATTTTTGTCTAACAGGAGATTTCTGTCTTTATCATTTTTAACAAACAGCTCTATGTAATGATAAATGCATTGGATTTTTGTACGTGCCTTTCTGCCTGGTCTCCCAGTGTACCAATGAACAGGGCAAAGGCATTGACGTTTTCGTCTGCTGTCAGTGCCTTGGAGAAGAGTCTGGGAGAGATCCCGTATCTGTCCAGATTAGCATCACTCAGCACAATCACAAAGTACTCATCTGCCTCATCCTGGAATACAGCAGGGAAAATACATCATGAAGATTTTAAATGCTATTTCCATATGAGAAGTAAAGCGTTTGTCACCAAGCTTTTGATCAATTCAGTCCTCAGCTTTTGTCATGTGACCTGAATGGTAGTGTGATGTGACATAAAACCCTGTCAATTACCTTCACAGAATCTGATAGACTTTCCTTCAATATTGTACAGTGTACACTATAGCAACAGGAAAGACCAAGGGGGCAATCAAGTTCAAGGTGGAGGACAATCTTGTCAATGGAAATCCTGGATTACCACATATTGCTCCACCCCAGAGGTGTCATCAAAAACACCCTAAAAATATGTGGCATAATAATCAATGTTACAGTAACAAATTCTCATTTACAATCATTGTAAATCACATCCAAGTAGAAAGGTATACAAGAGGAATATATAAGATAAGCTTTCATGTAAAATTTGACAGTTTACTGAGTCAGACATACATTTGTACATGTATTGTAGACCCACTCTAGATCTTACCTTTACAATGTTGGAGATGGCATGTTCTGTGGCTTCCAAAGTGTGATCTCCACTCATACAGAACTGGGAGTGAGCATGCATGGTCTGAAAAACGGAACAGGGGTGAGAACAACTGTGTATGGGTGACGTAGTGGTTTATTCATTGTTAAAACACAGTAGATTGGCCTTGCAGCCACAGCTGAATTGCACCAAGCTTGCAGGTGCAGAGAGAGTTTAGAATACTATTTGTAGACAAAAAAACAGTCACATGTTGTTCAGCTAGGTTGCATATAGCAGTTACCTTGAGTGCGTCCAGTCTGTCCTTGTTGTTTTGCGGCATCTTTTTCTCGGTGATGACAGGGATGTTGTAACCATCTCCAGAGTGGCCATAAATCTCAAACTGGTAACACAGAAAATAAGAGTGTGCCATACATGTACCCTTCACTATTCATCAATACGTGTATTATGGTCAAATCCTCAATGGCTCATGTTTTCCAATATGTTTCCCCTCATATGGTTAAAAAAACATCTCTTTGAACATTGAACAATCAACCTTGAACGACTAAAATTAATTCTAAGTCTTAAAATTTTGATGGTACTTTTTTATTTTACAGAGACCTGTTCAACGTGAATTGATGACACCACAAATTTGGGTTTCAATAACTGCTGTTATAGACTATTGTTTCAACCTGCGAATTTAAAATGCTGTGTAAATCTCAATCTACTTCCTACCATAAAGCCAATACAAAAGTAAATGAATCTACAGTACTGTACATATACCTTGAATTTCTGCTCGTATCCCTCAAAGGCCTCCATGACCATAAATTCATGACACCACAAATCTGGATTTTAATCTATTTCTACTGTACTATGGAAATTGTTTCAACTGAGAATTTAACTACATGTATGTCTCAATTTCTTTCCTACCATGCAAACCAACACAAAATTAACAGTTACTAAATTCACAGTACCTTGAATTTCTGCTCGTATCCCTCGAAGGCCTCCATGACCATGCAGGCAGCCTCCATCATCCGTTCCAGACGTCCGTCCATCCCGTTGAAGCGGTACATGCTGCCGCTAACGTCCACCACAAGCCGCAGCCTCTTGGGCTTCTCCTGCGGGGCACCCAACTAATTTTTTTGGGGGAGGGGGGCAGGATGCAAATATGTACGTCAGTAAACTTTTATCACTCATTAAAAGTCAAAACTGTGGCAAGAAGCCCTGTGACTATGATTCATGATATTTGCATCACAATAGTGTGACAAAACCTAACTCTTTATATATAACATCATATAATACTCTTAATACATAACACCATATATTTGTCATAATGCTGATCAAATCCAGTCTTAGTTAACTAGTAATCCTTTTCAAATCCATCCAATTTCACAGGTTCAAGCAAAAGCTTGCTGTCATTTTTGCCTAAGTATTTTACCATTACAAAGAATGAAAATCCTTGCTTTATACACAGTCACCTCATAGTGAGTGTACCATAGCCTTACAATATATATTTTGTAAGACTGAATACCTCTGGCTCCTGTTCCCCCCTCCTCTTGTAGATGGCCTTCTCTCCTGTCAGTCCTTCTATCAGTTTTGCCTCATCCAAGTCTCCTGATGTCTGGTGCTTCAGCCACTGTCGCTCCTTACTCTTAGCCTGAACACATTCAGAAAATGATTATTGGCAATATGTAGTTGTTCTACACCACTGGAGATGATAGAAACTTTGTAACTCTAACTCTTATACATATATCTGGTAATAGAAGTTATCATCCAAGGATAACATGCATTTCTATTTTTGTGAACTTCTTGTTTTATTCATGAATTTCTTGTTGGTTCTGTCTATGTACTTAGTATTTTCCCACTGTATTAAGGCGGTATCCTCATAGCAGGAAACTGACGACAGGACATGGGATAACCTTTTATTACGACCCTTGACTAAAATTCCTGTCAGTGTCCCTAGCATGCCTACATTGTAGCATGTGGAAGTAACTACAGATACACAAGCAAACACATAACAGGTACACGGAGTACAAGACCATAGAACAGAAGTAAACCAAAGTCAGTATCTGATTCAGTACCTGTAAACTGTCCAGGATGACACGTAGAGACTGGACCTGTCTCTTCACTCCTCCTGAAATCTTCTCATACGACTCTGCATCATACTTACTCATCTTGATCTCCCGCAACCTGGTATAAAAGAATTTGTTAAATCTCAGAAATTCCAAATTGTTGGAAAAAAGGTGAAAGTAGTAAGATTTGACTTCAATGCACTCCTGTTACCAACCTTTCTTCAAAAGCTTTCTTGGCCATTTCTTTGGCTGCCCTTTTAACCTATTAAAGAAAGTAGTAAAGTCATATTAAGTTTTGCTTTGTATGTTTAAGATGTTGACAGATTCAACCGAACGCAAAGCTGCCATTATTTCATAATCAGAACTCAACCATGTAAGCCTACTGGTGCAGTAATTCATTTGTAAGTGCACCAAGTCAGTGCAAGATCTGTGAAATATGTTTCTATGGGACAAATGAAGTGATACAGCATCCATTGCTGAATTTCTAGATGGTATAGTACGACTTTCCATTGGACGGTAGCTCACACAACATGGGTTCAGCACCAAGGACAGAGCCTAACCTGAGCTAAACATGAGAAATTCAACTTTACTTCAACCCCATTATATGCCACTAATGATGCATTTGGATATGAGATTAAGGAGAGAATATAGAATACAACACGGGGTATTCCGTATCGCCCGAGGTATCGGCCCGACCGCCGATCCGACTCGCAGGAGGGCCGGGACCGAGGGCGATGCGGAATACACCGTGTTGTATTTTATTTATATCATACCCACCCAAGAAAATGTGCCTTTCAATGCAAGATGAGCCAAAAGTTGGTGCCACCAAGGAGGTTAAATACAAGTATTTAACCTCCTTGGTGCCACTGAACCCTAAACTGCAACAACATCAATTCCAACGTCCAGATTCTGTATTCGAATTTTCGAAAGGGGCACAAGCGGGTAGGGCGAAACGCGTTCGAATCGTTTTATGGAAGCCAGGGAAGCGTTCGATAACGGGTCCCGGACCGGGCCGTACCGTAATGTACGGCCCGGTCCGGAATCCGTTATCGAACGTTATCGCGGCCCGGGTATGATATAAAGTGTATTACCTCCTCAGGAACCTGTTCCTTTTCCCAGTCAGGTACTTGGTACACAGGGTGCCCTCCATCCAGTCTGTAGGGACCCCCGATACCTCCTAACCCTGCTGTATCTCTCCCACCTGGAGTTATATTAAGCAACCATTTTAATTTATGCTAGAGACTTGTAGCTACCCTTGGATTGCTTTTCAGCTCCAACCCATATTTATTCATCAATATTTACCACATTTGCGCAAGGATTGACATGACGGGTGACCACTTCAAGATGTCAACCCTGAGACCAGACTGTAAGGTTTGAACCACTCACAGCAGGAGCCCTACTCTTTTTGATACATGTGGTGGGATCTTTAACATGCTCAAGGTGTGGCTCTTACACTCCGCTTTATATCCTATATACCTGAGAATGTCCCTAACTGAAGCTAGGTACTTATTTTCACCTTTGTTTCACCTTTAAGTTAGTGAATTGAGTAATAGGTGTAAAGAGCCTTTCCTGAGGACACAACTTACAGTAAGGCCTGCCAGGGATTTAAACCCACAAATTCTGAAGAACAAAGCATTTTCAAAGGACAGAAGAAAGAAAGTTGTTACCTGTTCCACCTGCCCAGGTGTTTCCGCCTACATGTGGATTACCTGTAGGATCCACCTTTCCATGTTTGGGGCTTTCTGCTTTCTTCCCAAGTTCACGTTCATAGGTCACCTACACGACACACCACAAACATTTCTAATAAATTTCTGTGTCTGCGCCTCCAAGTATGAAAAATTGTATCCTCTTGTTTGAATATTTTCTATCAGAATATGTCCTTCATAAAGTTGAAAGAGTTGTTAATCCATCATGTGTAGGGCACAGTATTGGAAGGCAGAGCACATCCCTCTTCTTCTACCACCTTTAACCTCCCAACTGAAGTCAGGTCACTATTTTATATGTGGTAGAGTGAGGAAGGTCACAAAAAATCTAGCCTGCCAGCAATGCCATTGATCTAACATGTGATTTTGTATCCACTAGCATAGCTACATGCAGATGATAATATTTGCACCTGAAGGGGTCTGCCATCCTGTTGACCAATCATGTGCCTCCATTCCCCAAGGGACCTCTCCAGATTGGCCAATCCTGTCTCCCACAGCCTGACACACCCTCCTGCGTCCACGGTAACCAGGCCCTCATGGCTGGCTGTTGCCATGACTACATTGACATCCGACATGTTGGCCAGCCACGAGACATACGGAGACACTGACTGGGCTCTACAACAACAAAATGTAGAAAGAACATGATAAAGCAAATTACAGAAATATTAGATTGTCACAAACACACATCGGTGAAGGTTAGACATCCAGGTAATACGATACACCAAAAAACAGTTACACAAGCAACTAAATATGATTTTGGAAATGGCCAGACATTTCAGGTAGCAATCGCTACCTTTCGTCAGCGACACTAGAGAGCTGTCAGAAAAGCAGGTTTATAAGTATAGACTATTCACAAACAAACCATGACAACAGTACGTCGATGAAGGTTAGACATCCAGGTAATACGATACGCCAAAAAGCAGTTATTCAAGCAACTGGATATGACTTTGGAAACGATCAGACGTTTGAGCTAGTATCCACTAGCTTTCGTCAGTGACTGAGAGACCAGAGGGGAAATGCAGTGTTGGTAAAGTGCACTTGAACTTTACACAGATATTGCCAAGAAGTAACTTTCTCCCCGCAACCAATACAAATTCAGTGCCAAAATGGCTACCTTAGCAGGCTGGAGGTTAAGACTCACCTTGGGATTGGAATATAGCGAACCTTCTTGGCACCCATGTCTACAACTTCCAGCAACCCCGCAAAACTGTGGGTCAGGTGGCCAAGTTCTCCTGAAAGGGAAAATCTGTAGTGTTAGCAGATTAAAAACAAAGCATGTTTTCCCCATAATAAAGCATATCTAATTTATTAGTAGAAAATATAGTTTACTACTAGCATTACACTTTATTCAATAACTTCACATTTAATAGCATTCATAAACTGGAGGGGTTTGTTGTAGTCTAATCAATTCATGTTAGTAGCTATTTTACACTGTTAAAATTACAATTATAATGTTAATTTTTAGCTAGTTGTCTTTAATTTGTTTCAATTCTTGTTTCAGGAACAAAAAGCAGAATGGTATCTGAAATTTATGAAATTCATTATAACCATTCATCTTGTTCAAAATTCCTTGACAATCGAAAAAAAATTAGAATCGTACCTTTGAGCTCTTTTGGTGCCTTCCAGTGAGGCACAATCCTGACGACTTGTCCTGAGTTGGGGAGGATCTCTGTCTCTCTGTTGGGAGGTTTGGGTCTCCCCTTAAAAAATGGGTCTTGTTTGGTGGGATCTTCATTTTCCTCCTCTGCCTTTCTGGGGAATGTGTACACTTCATTCCCTGACTGTAAAAACATACCATAAAAAGTTATACATGTATTTTGATAATATTACATGAATCTTATATGAAACTTAAACTTGAAACTGACAGTGTCGGTTATGACATACCATGATCTTTGAAAAGTGGTCAATGAGCTCAACATCATAATTATAGCTTCCGTATATATCGAAGCAACAAGGGATGCCAATGCCTACCAGTAACTCTGGAAATCCAATGACAATGGAAGCATAGTTTGCCTCGTCTCCAACAATCCTGTTGGGAGAACTGATCTTCTGATCGAGTGCTGCACTCAGCTGACTATCAGAGAGACCTTCCCTTCCAATGGCATTCACTTGAGCAGGCTGGACAAGGACGGCTTCTTGTCCAACTGGAAAACAAAACAAACAAGACTTTTGAAAAAAGTTTATCTCGGCCGCTGGCCATGTAGTTTTGTGTTCTTGGAGGATGTCCACATAGATTTGTGTAACTGCTAGAGAGGAAAGAATGTATTACCTAGTATGTTCATACCTGTAACACCAAACAGGGTAATAAGTTGGCTTCCATTATCATTTGCTTCAATGGAATTAGTGAAAAATATTAATCTCGAAGCAGATGTTGGGAGGGAAAATGTTTAGGTAGAGATACAGATTTTCATTTGTGATTGAAGATTTGAGAGACAGGAAAGAGTTTAGGATATGTATGTGGAGCTAATTTCTCTGTTAGAGTAGGTTACACAGCTCTATGTATGGGGAAGACATTTTTTGGAATGAGTAGTGTCATGTTGTATATTACAGAGGAACTATGTTTCATCTGTATGTTTCATTGAAATTGTAATGTCTGGACAATACTGATGAATAAAGAGCAAAGATGCATGTGTCAAAAGTGAAATGTTTTATTTTGGTATAACTTCATGAGACAACACAAAATGGAGTGGCTACAATAACAGAGCTGTCAAACGTTATCAAGCTTAATGCACTAACATATTGTTAGGTTGGCGATAACGTAACTCTGTTTAAATCTGTTCAACAGCACGAATAAAACACAATGTAATTGATTGCCCTTGCCCGTAGTATCTTTAGCTCCATTTTTATCCTATGGCTCTATGCCTAATACCCTTATAATTCCTGATATTTTGCTATTTTTGCTAAGTAAATACCTTACCAGCCTCATGCGTTACATCCGGGATCTTCGATATGGGAAATTCCATTCAGGCCACTAATCAAAAGCGACATCTTGCGACCGAGGAATATAGTGCACTTCCATAACCTTCGTCTTGACTTACTCAGATGTCTCAAGGTAATATTAAAACGTAATTTTTTAACTTGGTTTATTGGTGCAATTGCAGCAGTTATTACCAAATCTTTATAACATTTAATGCATACTACTCTCATGTCCCTAATAAACATACCCCCCGGAATAAACATACCCCCGGACAAATCTTCAAAGTCTAATATACATACCCTCCGGAATAAACGTACCCCCGGAAAAATGACCAAATTGACAGGTGAACGGTCTAAAATGTGCTCTTTATTTCAATACCAATGTATGGGCAAATCTTTCACTGTTACTTTTGATTAGGAATATAAATATACTGTACTAGTACTCAACAAACAGTGTCGACATTACAGCCATATTACACCACTAGCAATAGGGGTGGGTACCTGTTCGGCTCTTCCAGGTCCAGAGGATCAGGTCCAGGTCCGGACCTGTACCTGTACCTGATTCTGAATACCGGAGTTTCGGTACCGAATTTTTTTTGCTAAATGATCATTGCTAAATACAATATAACGTTAAGTATATGTAACCACTACAATAATTTTCATTTTATTTTATTTTATTTTATTTTTATTTATTTTTTATTTATTTTCATTTTATTTTTTATTCTGTTTTATTTTATTTCATTTAATTTTATTCTATTTTATCCGTTCTATGCATTATCAAACTTCTCCTCTACTGCTAGAGCTACTAAAACTTCAGACCGAATATATTAAACATTTTAATTCGCCCCCTCTAGCGGTTTGGGCCAAATTGCAGCTTTCCAAAAAAATCCAAGATGGCGGCGGCAGATCGGCGGCGCGGCTCGGCGATTGCCGATTTCATTGTATTTTCCTTGGTCTTTTACGCGATTCAAGCAAAGAAAACAAGTTGACCACAAGAACAAAAGAGTAATACAGCACTGGGAATCTAATGGTCCGTTTTGTTGGGCGGTAATTTCTCATTTCAAGTGAATATTTACGTGCGTCACAGTGATTTATTCACCAATCAAAAGCGACATCTTGCGACTGAAGCAAATATGGAAGGTTAATGTACATAATTTATGTCATTGATTTATTGGTCCTAATTACAGCAGCTATTAGCGAAATTCTAGAACCTTAAATGCATACTATGATATAAAACAATGGTTTTGTGGTAAACAGCATTTCCTCTTTTTTAGCAACTTCGTTGTATCAGAATAACGACACTATCATCCGGTAGGTCGACACCACAAAGTAAAGTATACATGCAGAGTAATTGGTTTCATTGGGTTTTTTTTTCACGGTCGAAATCAAGATTTATCCAGTCATCCAACCATCCAACCATTCAACCATTCAACGTACATATTTTGGAGCACAATATCTCGGC